TCTCAATAAAAAAAAATTTTGGACAAATTTATTCAATTGGGCAATAGATTATTTAAGAACGTACCCATAGAAAAAATTTTATAATAAGAAACCTTACGAAATTTCGATGTCCGATGATGTTATTGATCCTTAATATTACTGTATTAGCTAGTTACTAATGGCTAAACCACAATCGGATACTGAATTCCATAAAGTAAAAACTTGTGAATTGCAGGTTTTTTTTTATTGGCGTCATTTATTTGCACTGATGACAAATCAGTCATTTTTATACGTAAATACATACTATCACTGTCTAATTAAGGATTTGATTATCACTTTTACGTAATATGCATTATTCGCTAACAGATTCTTTGCCCAAAAATTTGTGTGTGTGTGAACCATTTTTTAGATATAAATAAGCATATTTTTTTACTGCTCGCTTTCTTCTTCTCAAACCAAAAAGTTTTATCAAAATGCCTTATTACGCGATAAAAAGTGCTGAAGATTTCGATAACCAATTAGAAGAAGCCGGAGACCAAGTGGTATGTAATAACGGTCGCAAATTACTTGAATTTAATTAAATTTATTGATTATTTTGTTACTCTTACACAAGGTGGTGGTTGATTTTTGGGCTTCTTGGTGTGGCCCGTGCAACTTTATTGCACCCAAATACGAAGAATTTTCAAACAAATATACGGATGTCATATTCCTTAAAGTTAACACAGAAGAACAGTCGGTAATTATCGAATTTCTTGAATGTATAATATATATATCTTCAGATATTTTAGAATTGACATAATTTGTCATTAAAATGACGGGTCATTGTCTAGTTCTATAATAAACTTTACCATCAATTTTAAATTAATTGCCTTCTTTTTATTCCGTATAAAGGGAGTCGCTACAGCTCAAAATATCACTTCTCTTCCTACTTTTCGATTTTTCAAGAATAAACAACGTCATTGTGATGATGTCATCGGTGCAAATCCCACTAAGTTGGAAGATGAAATCAAAAAACATTCTAAAATTTGTTGATAATAATTCCCTAGCTTGCAATAGCAATATTTGTAATGAGCTTATTATTTGAAAAAAAAAACTGCAAAGCAAAGGATTTATAATTCTATGCGAGTTAATAAAAGATTGAATTATATTAAACCTGCTATTTTTAATGGAATATTTCATGCAATTCATAATGAGTAGTAATAGCAATAAATTAGTGATAAATTTTCAAATTTAATTTATCTTTATAAATGTTTAAATTACAGATGCGGTTCGTTATCTGTATTTATATTTAAAATTTAACGGTATCCGGATATCCGAAATACTAACAATCTTATATTAGTTTTATTGTAAAATTAGAGGCAGTAAAACTGGAATCACATTTCTAAATACTTAATTAAGCATTGGTTTGCAGTTAAAGGGTATAAATTTCATAGTAAAAATCGGCGGAAAATTACTATTACTTTCATATAATATTGAATGGTGAAAGTTTCTTGCAATGCGTAAAAGTCACATAGTCATGAAGAGAAATGCCAATAACTCGCGATCTAATAATCCGATTTTAATAATTCTATCACTATTAGAACCGGATAATTTGCTCTAATATTCGGTAGAAACTCGGGGAAGCTAAAAAAAAAACTTTCATTATAAACTAGCCGTATCCTCAATCCTATATTTCAACAATTGATGCTATTAAAGTTGTTCCTTTTTATACTCTTTAATCGCGATTTACCTTTTAAATGTTTTGTTTATTTTATAGAAAGACATGGTATAATTCATTTTATTATTAGATTGTGATTTTTAAAAATTTATATATCATTAGGTACCCTACAAAATCAAGCAAAAAACTTGATAGTTAAATACTTGTAATTAGAGCGGACGTTAAATAGTCAAATCAGTTATACGTATATATCCATTACGGCTCATCCCAATTTCGCAACTCCTAATTCGCCGACACCTATTTTACCGACGGTCATTTCACCGACAACCTATTTTACCGTCAGCCCATTTCCCCGACAGCTCACTTCCCCGATTTCACTTTCCTGACAGCCAATTCTGATTTTGGGTTAGGGTTGGCCCGCTTTATGGTTAGTGTTAGCTAAAGGTAGATCGTGAAATAATAGCGAAATGAACTGTCGGGGAAATGTGCTGTCGGGGAAGTGAAGTCGAAGAAATGGGTTGTCAGGGAAGTGGGCCGTATTTGCGCATAATAACGCGCAGGGATGTAATTTTGAATTTCGGCCTAAATTAAGCTTAATTCAGGCCATTATTCGAAATAGCGCCCATGTGCGTTATTTCGCGCAAATACGATAATCAATTTTTTTAATTTTGAAATGATATTTTCTTTTTGAATTATTAATTAAAGTGTTTAGAATTAAATTCAATCATACTATCCTATAAGCAAAAGGTAAGATATCTTCTTCAAAATTTAGAAATTTAAAATTTGTCACCAATTATAACCGGTCTGTAACCGATCAGTGGCCGATGATTAATTTTGAAATTTTGGATTTCAGAAAAGGTATCTTGCTATTTATTTATAAAATAGCATGAACAGAATTTAATTCTAAACAACTTCAATTAATGGTCCAAAAAGAAAAAATCATTTCAAAATTTAGAAATTAATTACAATTGATCGTGAAGTGACTCATATCGTGTAGAACCCTGGTCAATTTGATCTCTACAAGTTCTACCGCAAATTCTATAATGCTTTTTAATTCATCTTTAGAATCCAAGGGCTCTCTTTTACTACTTGGTAAATAACAGATCCTGTGGTAACAAGAAGTTTTGAAGTTTAGCGTATTCGTTGTTAGACATGGTTGTATATTATAAAGACGCAAAGAGAACAATAGAATTAAAGTTGAATTATGCAAGAATATCAATCATTAATAAACGACAAATAAATCATAACTTCGAGATATTGCTTGTTTATACATTTTTCCTATCTCTTTTCC